AATGTTTTTCATCAATCAAATTATTGTCAAATGAATTATTGTCATATGAATTATTATTGAATTAAATTCAGGATAACAAAGATAAATTATAACCTGTGTTTGTTTGATTTTCTTCCAATTTTTCTTCCAATTTTTCCAATTTTTCCAATTTTTCTCAACCATTCCTATTCCTATTCATATCAACAATCCAATATACACACACTCATTCAAAAAGATCCAATGATCATAACAAACCACAAATGGCTACCCTAACCATTATCCACAAATAACCACAATCAACAAACCACAAATGGCTTCCCTAACACGTATCCACAATCAACAAACCACAAATGGCTTCCCTAACCATTATCCACAAATAACCACAAATGGCTTCCCTAACCATTATCAACAAATGTCTCAATAATCATAACCACAAATGGCTTCCCTAACACAAATGTTCCAAATATTTACAAACCACAAATGTTATTCCAATTGACAAATGATTCTCTAACAAGTATCAATCAACAAATGCTACCATAACCATTGTCATTCCAATCAACAAACCACAAATGGCTTCCCTAACACAATTGTTCCAAATATTTACAAACCACAACCCAAAAAAAAACCCAAAACTAACCTAACCAGTAAGAATTGTTCCATTTGTTGCCATTCCATTTATCTAACCTTTTGTTGCCATTCCATTTATCTAACCATTTCTTGCCATTCCAATTGTCATTCCATTTCTTGCCATTCCAATCAACAAACCACAAATGGCTTCCCTAACCATTGCCATCCCAAATGCTACTCTAACAAGTATCAATCATCAATCATTTGCTGTTGCCATTCCATTTGCTGCTGCCATTCCATTTGTTAACTTGATGACAAACATTTCGCGTTTGCAATGAATTTGCCAAGTTGGATCTACAAAAAAAATGATTGATTTGAAACCACGTTTCCATGAGAATGGAATCCTATCTTCCGGACAGAATAATCCATACAGACAAAATGGATGTTTCCTAAGCAAATTTTTTTCAATTGAAGAAGGTTTTGGATTGGATCTTCCTTCATTTGTGTTCCAATCGAGTTGACTAATATCTAATCTGGTTAAAAAACCTAACCTAACCCCCCAATTTGATCATGAAGCCAAAACTAGTGGCTGTTGTTCACGGTGGCTTTGTAAACAACTGTTAACCTAAAATTGCTTTTGAATATCAGATTGGATTCATGATCGATTCATGAAAAGATTTGGTAAATCCATGTTTGTTCGATAACAATTGAACTTGAAATTTGAAACAATTCGCTAACATTCGAAACATTGTTAATAATTCAATTAAACAATTGAAATAATTCGATTCCAGCATTTTTCTTTTTCCTTTGCCATTTGACTATTTTTCGAATCAGAAAATATTATTTTGTGTAATTTTGGGTAATTAAATTTCTACCCTAACAAGTATCAACAAATAACCACTAATGCTAATCTAACAAATAACCACAAATGTTCCAATCAGCAATCCACAAATGGCTACCCTAACCATTATCAACAAATAACCACAATTGGCTTCCCTAACAAGTATCAATTGGCTTCCCTAACCATTATCAACAAGTGTCAACAAATAACCACAAATGTCCCAATTGTTAACCCAAAAATAACCTTACAAGTGTCCACAAATATCCCAAAGTTCTACCCTAACAAGTATCAACAAATGTCCCAAATTTCTACCCTAACCCATATTATCAACAAACCACAATCAACAAACCACAAATGGCTTCCCTAACACAAATGTTCCAAATTTTAACAAACCACAAATGTCCCAATTGTTAACCCAAAACTAACCTAACCAGTATCAACAACCAACCAACATCCATCCATCCAAATTTTTTCATTGCCTTACCAAAACAGCACCATTCCATTCCATTCCATTCCATTCCATTCCATTCCATTCCATTCCATTCCATCAACCACAATAAAGGTATTATCATTTCATAACTACATTCATACATTTTAATATCTATCCAAGTCATACTTTAGATCAGATCGTATCGTTGGTTCATTCAATATTTTATCATTGGATTGTTTCGTTAAATATAATCGTTGGTTCATTCAATATATTATCATTGGATTGTTTCGTTAAATAGTATCGTTGGATCATTCAATATATTATCGTTGTATTGTATTCCATTACATTCCATTCCATATATAATAACATACCATTGGTTTTCACTCACTGGATCATAATATATCGTTGGTTCATTCCATTCCATTCCATTCCATATAATAATATAATCATGCCATTGGATATCGTATATGCATTCATCATTGTTCAATTGGATAGTCATCATCATCATCATCATAAGCCATAACATATCATAATCATGATCATAAGCAATAACCACAGCATTGTTTTCTCGTTGAATCTTATCCACAATAACATAAAAAAGTAATATCATTCCATTCATATTCTCATTCATATTCTCATTCATATTCTCATTCCACAGTATCATCACAAACCATTATTCATTTTCATTTCAAACAAACAATTGGATGGTTGGAGGACATTGTTTTTGGCCAAATCAAATCATTCATTCACTGATATTTGGCCAATTTTTCATAACAAACAAATGGAGGTTGGAGGACATCATCATCATCATCAAATCAAAACCAAATGAATTATTTTGTTATTTTCTTTTTTTTTCAATTGTATATTTGTATCCAATGTATATTTATCAAATGTATCAAATGTTTTTCATCTACCAAATTATTGTCATATGAATTATTATTGAATTAAATTCAGGATAACAAAGATAAATTATATCCCGTGTTTTTTTTTTGATTTTCTTCTCCAATCACCAATCACCAATCCAATATACACACACTCATTCAAAAAGATCCAATGATCATAACAATCCACAAATGCTAATCTAACAAGTATCAACAATCCACAAATAACCACAATTGGCTTCCCTAACCAGTGTCTATCAACAATCCACAATCTACTAACCACAAATGTTCCAATCAACAAACCACAAATGGCTTCCCTAACCATTATCAACAAGTGTCAACAAATAACCACAAATGGCTACCCTAACCATTATCAACAAATAACCACTAATGGCTTCCCTAACCATTATCAACAAATGTCAACTATTAACAAACCACAAATGGCTTCCCTAACCCGTATCCATTATCAACCATCCAATCCAATTTCAAATCATCCATCCAACTACTTGTAAGTATCAAGCCATACTAACCATATCATCCAATCAACAATCCAATCCAATCACCATATCATCCAATCACCAATCCAATCACCAATCCAATCACCATTCAACAATCAACAATCCAATCCTATTCCATACCACTGATTGACTGATCATCATCATCATTGGAATCATTATCCATTCATCATCAACTGAATATTTCCATCCAAATCTCCATTGATCCATTCCCATTCAAAACACACACATTCAATTTTTACCATTCAAAAATTGAATGAATATCCAACCAAAAATCTCCATTGCAAAACACACACATTGCCAAT